CTCTGAGCGGATGCAGAGCTAGAAGGCTGGCAGCTTGACTTGGGCACCTATTTCGCAGCTTGCTTTGCAGAGGTTTCTTTGCAACGAACTGGCGCTGGGGAACGAAACCGCCCACGCGGCTGGCAGCTGGCTACGATGCGACGATCCGTTCGTCCTCTGCGGGCAACTTGAACTTGAAGCTGGGAGCTCCTAGAAGCTCCGTGAATGGGATAAAGAGTGTACGACTTGCCAAGTTGCAGGACTCACGTGCACTGGCCTGCGTTGCAAGGGACATGCGAGGTGCTGTGCCGCCACTGGGTGGGAAGACCGGTATAATCTCCCTCGTTAGCATCCATGGCACATCAAGTTGCTCCTTGTTGGGGTAGCGGCATTTCGTGCAAAATCATGCAAGTGTGCGGAGCCACCGCAGTGCGTGGCACCTTTCGCAGGCCGGAAGCCAGCAAAGACATCAGGAGCTATCATCTACAAAAATATCGACATTTACATCCAGGTACATAGCATGTGGTGTTGTTGCAAGGCTGCCCGGGGCAGGATATGTCAAACGCATGTTCAAGGCCTTCCCCACATTGCGCACCAGCAGGACGCCTTGCCATTGCAAATTAAAAGAGACTGGGACAGTAACTGCCGCAGCAGTTCGACATCGCAACGAAAGGCGCCGGACAGCCGCGAGTTTCTTGCGTAGCACTCGGCTTATCACGGAGGCTTCACGGACAGGGGCGGTCAAGCAGCATTTGGCTTAGGAGCCTCGACGCTGGCACGGCTTGTGTGCTGACCGAACCGGCTGACTCTCTGGTAGCCTTCGTTGGTTTCAGACAAATTGCGAGCTGCTCTGACGAAGGCGGATCTGTGACGTCGCCAGTGGCCGCCTTGGACGGATGGCTGCACGGGGGCTGGAATGCAATGACAGGCCGGATTGGCGGCAGTGGAGTCTCAGATGCTTCCCCAAACAAGCACGACAGGCCAACATGGAGCAGGCACTGCGAGCAGTGGCCGTGATGCTAGCAGAGCTTGCAGGGCATCGCGACGGTATGCCACCCTTCACAGGCAGACATGAAGGGCCAAGCGACATCTGCAGCTGCCACTTTTTCTGGTTTGCTCTCCTCAAGGAACGAGTCGCAACAAGCCGGTTTGCCTCTGGGTCAGACTCGGCGCGCGGCAAGCGAATGCCCAAATGGCCCAAATGGGCAAGTGCCAAGGAAGCATCTGTCAGAAGCAGCATGAGCTGAGAAAAGCCCTCCTGCTGAGGCTGCACCCTGCGTTTCTGTATCCTCCGTTCAACCACAGTCAGCGGAGGCCACACATGTGCAGGGCTGAGCTCCGTGACCCGGCACTGATCCGAAAACCCCTTAAGAAATGCAAGAACTGCGAAGGAGGGTGCGGAGGCCGAGGACCAACACCCGCCCTATTGACCCTAGCAGAGCTACCACCGCTTTTTCCTCACCTGGCGACCCCGCGACCATAGGACACTCAGAGACTCGCGTGCGACTCGAGACTCGAGAGCTCCAAGTCAAGACATATCGTCTAAAGGCACCTCAGAGCGGATGCTCCGGGGCAGACTTTATTCTTATGCCGATGATGGCAGAAATCTGCAGGGCTGCAAGCGAGTGCCGGTGAAGCTTAGCAAACTGAGCTCAGGCACGGGACAAAGCAGAGAGAGGAGGCATCGCGACAGCCGCCAAGGCCCTTCGCCAAGGAGTCCCACGAGCAGCTGCGCCGCAGCGGATCCGTGTCAGCTCCGTGTGCGAACGGGCGCCCACGCCGTCGGCTTCTGCAGGGATCGTGTCAGAGCGGCATACGACTGCGGCCTCTGCCTGCTTTACGCTCAACTGTCTGTCGCTTGCAAACCGCGCCAAGCGATGCGGCTACGAGACTACCGACGCAAAGACAGGATGCATGCTAAGACTCCTTCCAATCAGCTTCTCTTCACACGAGCGGTCTCCATACGCATGCTTGAACACAACGAATGAACACTAAGGCTGAAGAACTTCTGAGGAACTTGCAGAGCCGCGGGCAATGTTCAGCCTAGAACTGTGAGACGCTCTGAACAGGAAGCATCCTGGAGCATCATTTTGAGGCTAGGCGAGCGCCTCTGTTGCGGGACGTTTGACACCGGAATTGCAGCAACTGCACCTGATCGGAATGGGCGGAAAGGTCCGCAACGACTGGAGGTTGATTTCGGCACGAACAGAACAGTGTGAAGG